GAAATAGTAATATAATTTACTATATCTATTCGCATTGAAATATTTTGATTTCAAAATGGCATTTTTCTATCTTTTCTTTTCTGTGTCGACGTGCGCTAAAATTGCAGCATGCAAACAAGGTATGCAAATCTGGAAGATTATATGTATTGACATATCTCCTTTTACTTATTCTCGTAATTTTAGATTCAATCAGATCGAAGCCAAAGTGGATAAGTTAATTAGCATCGCGAATGGTTTAGCAGATGGGTGAGTTTGTTGTTGTTGTTTTTTTTTTTTTTTGTTCATTAAAATAATCTGAAAATACTTCCCTCTAACCATTTCAGTCTGAAAAATTTGAGCCAGCAAGTATCGAAGAATGATGGCAATAACTCAAGACGCGCTTGCACAGTAAAATTAGAAAAAGAACGAAATTATAAGCTTTGAATAGCGACGTTTTTTTTATAAAATGCAGAGTAGTTATTCACATAAATGCGCAAGAAATCTATATATTAATTCGTTCTGGCAATTCTACAAACCGAATACAAAACTATTTTGGAAAGGTATTTTTTTGTAGCCGTGGAGAGTTTTTTTGGTTTCAAAACTGGTTTAAATCGTCGACCGCCGCGTCGAATTAGTCGCGTTATCGATCTTTATTGAATTATTAGTGTTTATAGAGTTAACGAAATTTACCATATTATCGTAATGTATAAAGTTCTTTCAACTTATCGAGTAGTCTGTCGAATCGAAGTTTTTAGAATTTTCAAAGTCTATCGAACTATCAAAAATTTCTAGGGCTTTACTTGTATATCAAGTTAGCACAGTTTATCGGTTTATCGAATTTTATCAGTTACCAGGGTGTAAGAAGCTATCGAGATTTGTCGATGGATATCGAAATTTATGGAGCTATTGAAATTCAGCGAGTCATCGAAATTTATAGAGTAATTGAAAGATATGTTTATTTTTTTATTTAGCGAGATGCGTAAAGTCCACGAAAAGTACAGTTATCGAAATTTATCGAGTTTTATTGAGTTAACGAATTTTAGTGTTGTCACGGTTTAGTTCCAAAGCAGGAGAGGTAAGTAATTTTATACTGCATAAGTTAAACGACGCGCTTATGATCCGTGAAATTTTCACGCGTTTCAATTCAATTTCACTTTCGACTCCCCTTTATCTTTATATACAGCTAATTAAATGAAAGTGGTACATTTTCTCGAATGTAATTTACCCAGTAATTTACGTATACATAAATTTGTATGTATGCACATTAGGGTGGTCTTTAATGTGGGAAGCAAAGGTGTGTCGCACAGGGGACAAAGGTCCGATTACCCTAAGAAGACGCCTTAACCGACTCCAATCGGAACTAAAATTTATTTGTGATATCCTCGACATTAGCAGTATTGATTTTGGGCATTAAATGAAAGAATAAATATTTTTCATTTTTTTAGTCCTTAGACGCATCTCCAAACGGGGCCAAAATTTATATGTGATATATTCGACAGTGATATTACCGATTGAAGCGGTGAGGCCTAAAAAAAATCCTTCATTTGATTTTTTAAGGACCACCCTAATGTACATTGTACATATGTATGTATGTAAGCACAATTATATGTATATCGTTTGTGTGTTTCCTGTAGAAATTTGTAGTTTCTATTTGGATTTGGTATTCCAATTAGCACCAGTTGCGAAGTTTCCCTAATGTTCTAAGATAGCATGAAATCATTTATTCATTTATTGTATGTAATTGATTACAGTTTGAGGCACAAAGGCAAGCGCGCAAACGATAGGAACCAAAAGAACTATGCTCTGGTGCAAATTGGTGATGATATCCGTATTGCCTCAACAATGACTTTCATGGTGGTTTCCAGCCTTATTAAAATTTGTTCTTAATGTCTAAACATACACACATACACTGCCGTTTTCTTTTTATTAATTACATTGTTTTTCACGCTGAAATTATTTTGTTATTTTTTATAAAAAAAAATGGTATTATTATTGTGAATCTCGTTAAGAGAAATAGAGCTTTCCGATCGAAAAATATTGATTTTCTACAATTATATACCGTTTCTACGAAAAGTTTTTTTTTTCCCCCTTTGAGCGCCCTCCAAATATTTTGTTATTTCAATGCTAGGGGTTGAGAGCATGAAAATTCCAACTTTACTATTACACATGCATTTTTGCACCACCCCAGTTTACATATTTTAATTTTTCGTGTAGCTACATGGCTAACTTTACTTTTACAATATTTTCATATTTAATTGACAGTTGCAGTAACCCGCTCAAATTCTAATGCTGATAAGAATACATACGAGGGATGTTTCCAAAAGTTCTGGGAATTCAGCTATAATTTTTTTTTATTTGGTTAATTTTCGTCAATATTGCAATGTAGTTTTTTAACATGATCTCCATTAAACTGAATAAATACATTTATCCCAACGATACACTAATTTTTTTAAGCCGTCCTCAAAGCAATGCTATGAAAACGCGTCTATACCAGTCGAACACAAAAATTAAATAGTTGCATAAATATTCCAAGACTTGTTTGGCACTAATAACACTGCCTATAAGTTCAGCGCAATTTAATTAAAGCACAATTTCCAGAACTTTGGAAACATCCCTCGTATTAACTGCCATTAGATCGAGAAAACAAACAACACAAATCAAAACTTACAAAAAAAAGTAAAGGCAGATATTGTCATTGCGCATTGCTTTGAAAACAGAGCAGCTCATTCACATCAATTTCATTGCAAAATCGCTGAGTAATCAACGTGAAGTAAAACCGGCAGCTGATGTACACCCGACAGAGAGCTCCTCGGGAGCAGCGTATACGATGAACGAGTACAAATATTTAAAACTTGATTTTGCGAATCATAAAAATTTGATAAGGAAATTCGAATTCTTATTCATACCGCATTTTTTCCTATAGGAGAGCGCCCGGTCAGTACTACTGTCGGACGCGAAAGTTACCGCGTAGCTAGCTAAGAAGCTCTTTCGGCCGTATCGATTGACTACTGACCAGAAAGACTCTGCAGCTTTGTATGCCAGCTTTTCGCTCAGCGATCGCTGAGGCTACTGAAAACCCATGATTCTAGGTGCACTCCGCGGGATACCACAGGAACTCCTATGCTGCCCCTTTCATAAAATATGCAGCCCGTCAACTGGAGACAGTTATGGCCGCAACATCTACTTTAAAAATGCTGCAAAAATCCAAAAGTCTAAACATGAAATCACTAAGATGAGAACCAAAGAGTTATGTGTAGAGAAGGATCCTATCATAAGCCAGCCTCGATACGCACCGATCCCCCATCTTCATGGGGTCAAAGTTTCCAAAAGTCGGCGAGTGCTCAAAAGACGGATTGTAGGAGCAACCGGTGCTCATTTGCCCGATGGCGGAACGGCAGATTGGCGTTAAGCGAAAATTATCTCATACAATCAAATTGTTTTTGCAATGGTTTCATCCAGCCAGATAGGTTAGTAAATTTTTATAGGTTTTTGGCGAGATTTTAAAATTTGGATATCGGCGTACATATCGATCGTTTTCTGGTAGATTACCATTATATAAATTTGTTCGCATTTCAGTATGCAGAATCGATAATTTTTTTTGTGTTTGGTAAATAACTAATAATGATATCTGTCAGTTTTATGGCATAGGAAGGGAACCTGCTTTGGCGTGAAGAAAATATAGGGGTTCACAATTTGGAAATGTGGTGCACGAAAATGTATCTGGTATCGATACTAAAGAACAAAAATGTTTGGGGGAAAAAAGCCACTTTTTTGGTGATTTCGGTGACAGAAGCTTATTTTCCGACATCTTGACTAAAAAGTTTGAAGAGCTACTACGGTTTTCACGCACTCCTAACAGATAGAGCAAACAAATAATTTCGCAAATCTTTCATCATTCATTATTTTTCGTAAATTTATTTGTTAAATTTTTTAAGCATTTGATTCGAAACTTAAACTTTTTCATCTGAAGCATTTTTTTTAAAGAAATCTTTAGTATCTAAAATACCAGAGAATGCTGGAATTTTCAATTTAGTTCTTCTTTTATTCAAATTGATTTGGAAAAATATTCTTTCCACGTTTGCTGTGGCGAATATGGTAGAAATGTAGTGACAGAAGGTCAACCGAAAGCAGTAAAAGTTTGAATGTGTACAAGAAAAAAAAAGTTTGGGAACTTCTGCTCTTTCTGCACTAAATTATATTTATTTTAACCTTTAGTTATGTTTTTTTTTTGTTTAAAAAAATCCGACTGAACCCCTTAAAGCTTTTTCTCGCATTTCAGGGTTTTGAGTTGCGACGTTCTTCCACCATAGTGACGATATGTAACTACATACATTTGGGCATTTCCATGGCAGAGATTCATGAAAGCGAAAAAAAAACCGAAATGTCATTTTGAGGTTAGTAATATTTCTAAGTTGTTAAAAGTATATTAAACCCATATTTAAAATATGCCAAAACACTATACTCACATTTAACATAGCTAGACTTGAATAAAATTATAGTGTTACCGGAATTAAAAACAAAAAATTGAAAAAACTTGCTGCAACGCGAGTACATAATAACATTTATTTTTTATATCCCTCTAAATTTCCCTGTAATTGGCTTTAGCAAAATACAATCCATTTAATTCCTAATAAAATCTAAAATCAAAAAATTAATTACTCAATATCTCTTGTGCCGAAATTGTAACGCGAGCTGGCGACTAACTTTTGTATTGAGTATTTTTAATAAGTTACAAGAATTTCACTGAAAATATAATAATCATAAAATATCTTTACGTTCATACTCATATTCGAACAAGTAAACTCTAACTTTAAATTTTTGAAATAATTTTTTCGAATGTAACGCGAGTGTCGGGGGGGGGGAATCACCCCATCCATATATACTTACTTATATCGGAACCACATAAAATTCGTATGAAATAAAAAGCTGATAAAGTGGCTAAATAAGAAACAATCCGCCTGCATTAAGTGCTCGTGTGAATTAGTTGAAACTATTTGAGTTATACAATATAAGTTTTTTTATTTTTACACTAAATGCGCTTCTCAGCCTGCAAGCTGCGTTTCGTGATAAAAAACTGCATCGCTCAGCAGCAGAAATATGGGATTAGCAAAATAAATTTCATTTCGCAGTACGTGAATTGCATAGCAAGATGATTGTTAATGTGTCGTTGGAATTTTTCGGTTTTTTCTGTATAATTTACTTTGGTTCCGTTTCAAGCGAGGATCCATTTACAATATTCCTTGATGGCGGCAGTGAGTTTAAGAGCATAAAGAATGATTTGAATAGTCTTAAATCTGACATGGCAGATGCGCTGAAAGAGTAATATAATTTACTATATCTATTCGCATTGAAATATTTTGATTTCAAAATGGCATTTTTCTTTCTTTCCTTTTCTGTGTTGATGTGCGCTCAAATTGCAGGATGCAAACAAGGTATGCAAATGTGAAGGATTATATGTATTGACACATACGTCAGGATATCACCTTTTACTTATTCTCATAATTTTAGATTCAATCTAATTGAAGCCAAGGTAGATAAGTTAAATAGCATCGCGAATGGTTTGGCAGATGGGTGAGTTTTTTTTGTTTTTCATGAAAAATCTTAATATATACGAAAATATGAACATAATTGCTTCTAATCATTTCAGGCTGAAAAATTTAAGTCAGCAATTATCGAAGAATAATGGCAATAATTCAAGACGCGCTTGCACAGTGAAATTAGAAGAAGAGCTGAATTATAAGTATTCACCATTCGTGTGAATTAAGAGTTGTTTAATTTTTTTCTTTGACATTAAACAATGGAATTTTAAATGTATATGTATATGTATATTGCTTGAATTTATTCGATTTATTTTTATTTACAATTTCAAATTAGCTAGAGAGAGGGACAGAAATTTCAACAATCCTAGGGCGGCATTTAAATTCTGACGTTATTTTTTCCCATACATTTTTGGACCACCGTAATGTACATCCATGTAGGTATAAATTTTAGGGTAAATATTTTAGGGAAGTATTTTAATGTGATTTAAAACAGTATTGAAATTAGAAAATAATCAGTTTGAATCCATGCACTCAACAATAAGCTTTGATTTGGGGTGAATTCTAATTCAATGGCGAGTGGTTAGTAGCATGGGCCGAAAATTCGCTTTTTTAGAATTTTGATTGGTAATAGCAAAAATATGATTCATTATGCTCTAAAAAAAATCTGTGTGTACGATTAAAATAAAATTTTTGGTCAATATTAGGCTCGCCCTAGTCTATAAAAGTTCAAGTGGTAAAAAAAGTTGTTCTTAGCTTACTTCGATTATCTGCAAAAAAGCTCCACATACCAAATTATGCAGGACTGATACTTTCGCAGATAATTGAAATTTTAGTAAAAAATATTATTAATTAATTTATTTATTAATTTTAATTTTTTTAGCACATTGAACTTTAATAGACTTGGGCGAGCCCAAGATATTGACCACAAATTTTCATCTTTCACACAGTTTTTATTTTATAGCATAATTAATCACATTTTTGCTATTACTAATCAAAATTCTAAAAAAATCGGATTTTCGGCCCACGCTAGTGGTAAGTTATTCGAATAAATGCACAAGAAATTTTATTAATTTTATGAGAAAAAATAAAACCGCACTCGCGTATTAGTATTCTGTTGGATTCATCCGCTTCTTATACTCCGCGAAATTTTCCCTCCTTTCACTCTAATTTCATTTTCGACGCCCCTCTACGCATATCTTTACATACAGCTAATTCTATGTAGTGTTTTCTCGAATTTCATTTATCCATTAGTTTATACGTATAAGTAAATTGTATGCATGTATGTCGGTAATGTGTTTTCTGTAGCAATTTGCAGTCTCTATTTTGATTTGATATTCCAATTAGCACCAGTTGCGAAGTTTCCCAAATGTTCTAAGAATGATTTCCATTTATTTATTTATTGTATGTAATTAGCGCGTAATTGATAACAATTTGAGGCACAAAGGCAAGCGCGCAAAGTTTATTTCGTTAATACGAGTAAAATATAAGAACTATGCTCTGGTGGAAATTGCTGATGATATGCGTATCGCCTCAACAATGGGTTTTATAAATTTCGAGTTTTCAAGTGTTTTTTTTTAATATTTTTTGAAAATGAAGCATTTAAAACTTTCTTCCAATTTTTGTTGTAGACGGTGGGCCTGAACCAACTTTAAATGCGAAGTCATAGCACATCCTATATTCTTTTTTTTTTCATTTGTTGCTTATATTTTTTTCAAAACAATTTAGGACCAAAAAGGATTTTGAAAAAATCGAGTTTAAATGACACATTTTTTTTTTGTTTTTTAATTTTTTGATTCGTTCTTTCCTCTGAGTTTCAACAGTAGAATAAAATAAATTAAAATATTAATTAAATTAAATTTATATAATTGATATTTACCCTCACATACCATTCCCAGACTCACATTTATTCTGGTGTTGAAATTCAAAGAAAAGAACGAATCGAAAAATTAAACAAAAAAAATTATAATATTTTTTTTTTTTTGTAAAACTCGTTTTTGTCAAAAGCTGTTCGGGGGATTATTTTCTTTTTGGTCTTAAATTGTTGCAAAAAATAGAAGCAAACAAATAATGAAATAATGTCGGATGTGCCATGACTTTGTATCTAAAGTTGGTTCAGGCACACCGTGTGTAAGTTTTTTTGAAGCAGGGTTTTTTTTTTTTTTAAAGAAGAATTGTCGGAATTTTTTACGGCGATTGAAGGTTTTTCGGAAATTCATTGTAGAATATAATTTCTTTATGATATTAAAAATGTTTACTTACAAAATTTTGACCAGAAAACGATATAATTTTCTTTTTGGAGTTCTTAGGGATTTAAGAAAAAATGTAATTATTTGCGAATTTTAGATTTATTTTCGTGGCATTTTGAATGTACTTTTGATTTGTTCGAGATTTTTTGGGATTCAGATAAATAGCTAAGAGATGAGTGCTTTTTCTAAATTTTTTTTTCGGCAACTTTTGCGAAAAATTTCGGTATATTTATCTATATGATCTATAGTATCTATTTAAAATTAAAAATGAAGTGGTTTGCAAGTTTCTGAACGTCTTCGTGATCGTTTTGTGGATATTTTTTATGGGGCTTCCTGTTCTTTCCCTTGCTTCCATATAGGTAAAAAGACAACTTTATTTTTGTGCCCCGGGACTCATTCTTGCACCACAGACAGGGTCGGCTTTAGGGCGCCAAATTGAGGGGGGACACAAATTCTGTGATGGCGTTTAATTATTTTATTGCAAACAATTTTCGAGTGTTAATTTTCTTCATCGAAACTCTTAAAAACAACAAAATTAATTTGAGTTTTTAACAAAAGAATGGATATCAAGCCGGGGTGATCGAACTAAATCCTAGAGCACCATTCATACCATGTGGACGGCATTTCTTGAACATGCATCACGCTTTTTGGTGAACTTGAGCGCATTTATTTTCTATTCTGAGTATCTACCCAGAGATGGACCACTTTCAATGACATCCCAGAGTACAACCATAAACATCGCTGCAGCCACTAATTCGATAGAAAATTGCGCTGAATTTCTATCCACCTACAGTAACAAAGAAGGAGATGTTCGATCACGAAAGTTAAGATGAGTTTGCAATTTTCAGACCATAAGATTAATTTAAAACTGATTTTTTCGTTATTCTAGTTGCCCTGGTTCACTGCCCTGGCTGCTGTCAAGGAAACGTTTGGGCAGTTGAAAAATCATGAAAATCTATGGCTAGACTGTTCCCAGATTCACTCGAACATTACACTTTTTTTGCCAAAATGTCCGGAGGATAAATGGATTGAAACTTTATGAAGAGTTGAAACAATTACGAAGTATTAAACCTGCAGCAATGAAATGGCCATTGAAGGCTCTTAAATTTCGTCAAGAAAAATGTCTTCGATGTATTATTTCCTTAGGTCTGGGTTTCTCTTGCGATTTTGTTGATTTTGCCAGTGACTGTTGTGACCTGTTAGCTACTATGTCCAAAGAAATATTAAACGCTTTAGCTATCTTATCTATCGAAAACGAGATTGCTACTCATATTGATTTTTCCAGAAATATTTATCGTAATCGCTTCTAAAGCAAGCTCTGACCACAGCCCCCAAGCGTGAATTCCATAAAATGCCAATCACAGACATCGAGAATTTATCTTAGTCTTTGCACCGACTTGTGAAAGCTGTGCGACTTTTGCGAAACGAACTTTTGCAAGTTTCTATATTTCAGGTCAAAATCTATCCTAACTGCATGCTTAGTGGAGTGATGAACTCGCCATAAACGAGCAATACAGACAATATTTAATCGATCAATATAAATGTAATCTAGTACAACTCAGAACACTACTAGAACTAAAAAAAAAAAAATTCAAGCAAAAATTTGCAAAAGTAAATAATTAGCTATCCTCGTGAGCCAAATATACTCATATGGATATATAGCGTATCGCCTAAATCAGCTAATAACTTTTGACACGAAACCTAAAACATTTTTTTAAGTAACCATGAGTTACGCACCGCACAAAATTTCAATAATCTCGGCATCAGTCACAAAACGATCGGACAGCTGCTCGGTGCTATATTTCACCAAGTCGGAAAAATAGCTCATCCACAGGCGCTCAAGAAATGTTGGTCTACAATAAAAATCACAACGTATTCTACAAGCATTCCATCATCTTCCTATTTATGAGCCAACTCTCCAGCAACAGCTTACCGATTGCTGCGCAACGCATCAAATCACCAGCCATTACATCGCGAAACTATCGCATCGTAACGACTAGCCTCCAATGTTACCACACCATACCAGATATCGTGGAAAACTTCCACTGCCATCAAACAGAGCGGAATAATCGCACATACAGCTCTGGTTCGCTGATATTTCGAAGGCCAATTAATCGTTTGGACACCCAGATTGTACTGGACATATATCGGCCGAATGGAAACCGTATGAATGTTTTCAATATATCTGCGGAATTTTGTGGAATCTTGACACAAAAGAAATATGGTTTAACATTCTTCGATAAATTATTAAAAGTTTTGTATGCCACAATGAATGTAGTGCCGACTTGTCCACTGATGGCGGTAAGTACAATTGGTGTATTTTCGGTTTACTGCCGAAAACTTTTTAAGTTTTATTACATATGTATGTGTGTATGTGACTTTTATAATTTTTCTAGCACTTCAATTATACTATAACGGATTTCGATATTGTTGAAACAATTTTGCCTGCTTACATACTAAGGACGAATTTTCGGAGCGGTATTTATTTTCTCTCAAAGGGACGACGTGGTGTCGGCGTTGCGGTGGAAGGAAAAGTTTTGAAAGCCAATTAGATGAGTGTAAAAGTTTAACAATGAAACGAAAATATAAATCATAAATGATTTTGAAAGCATTTTATTTCTTAACTGCATCTATGATCTGCCAGGGATTGAACTCTTTATCAAGGAAAGTGCTCCAAAACATTTAGAATATTTTTGAGTTGTTTCAACACGGTTGCCACGGGATAACAAGTAAAATTCAAATTATTTACTAAGTTAAATGAGCTATAAAAATATTAGTTTTTATTACGGTATCGATCGAAATTTATATAGGGTAATATAGGTATAGACCACCCGTCCTTCCCATCTAACATGTAGGGAAATGTTTTTTATATTGAATGCTCTATCTTTTGGAGGTATTACCGACTTCCGCTTTCGACTGGAGGTGCATTATTTTAACCGGAAGAGCATTCCCGAAGAGTTTCCGACAAAATTTATGTATTTTTGTCTACATACATATGTCGCTAAGTTTCAAAAAAATAAAGGAAAAACATGTTCAGCGAATAATCGATTCATTCATCGATAGCGGTATCAACAGTTAAACTTGTAAGTATGACAATATCTATGATTATATGGAAATAATTGGGTTGTTGGTTATCAGGTTATCTGGTTAAAAATTATTATTCTGTAGTGTATGTTATTGTTGTAAACTGAGTAAAAAATATAACCACATAACCAGATAACCCGATAACCAGGCAAGTGTGAACAACCCAAATATTTATAATATCAGCAAATGTGCCGGGAACAATATCTTTCGAGATTTGTCGCCTTTTTTAATGCTTTACTATCCCCGTAGAATTTTTGTATGCCTGCGTATTATGTACGGAGAAAACATATAATCATTATTACAATAATATTATAATTGCATATATATAAGTATATACATATGTATGTATTCGTACGTATGTCTGTGCATGAGCTATTTGTGTGTTTGATATGAGCTTTGCTCGCATGTGTTTATTTATTGCCACTCGACTGATTAAAATTATGCATTTATTTCATTTCCATACTCCGCATATTGACGTTGATAATTCAAATATCAAAATATTTGATAAGCTTTAGTGGTTCGATGAAAAATAATTAAGCGGAAAATTAATGCAATTATACCCTTGTGCAGTAAATTATTTTTCGTGTGCGTATAAATTATAGAATTTATATTTATGGGCCATTGAACTTTAAAGCAGAAATCGTAGCGCTTTTTCGCTTTTGATATCCACTTTGAATATTAAATATCAAACGATTTTTTTTTTTATCTGGGCGTTGGTAATGAATCGTTAATTCTACCTAGATATGTATGTAGCTTTGGTTTAATAGTAGAGCTCTCGATTTTGTTCGCACATTTTCAAACAGCCCGGGTATATGAGCAGCGAATACTCGCACACTTGTTCAATGCTCATTACTCGAGAATTTTCGAGCATGAGCTCCAGCAATTCGAGTTTTTTCGAGTAATTTGAGCAATGTTTTTTTTATTATATTGACATTTTTGGTAGCAACTTTTTAAATTTTTCAAATTATTGATATATAATGCAAAGATTGTTACATTGGTATTTAATAATATAATTTATTTAACATGAATTAGAAAGCAGCTGCTGACAAATACAATTTACAAATTTTCTTTTGTTTATGAAATTGTTCAAAAACTCGAAAATTTTGAACAAACATTTGAGCAGTTGAGCAATGAACGAGTTTCGAGCGAGTATCGAGCTACTCGCATTGCTCGATACCCGGGTATCTAGAGCTCTAGTTAAGAGAAGTAAATTGAAGCAAAGTGAATTTAGGTGAGGTGAGATTAGATAACTTATGGTGAGTTGAGCTGAGGTGAGTTGATTTCAAATCAGCTGTGATCAGTTGGGGTGAATTGCGTTAAACAATGCGACGTAACAAAACGTAACTTAACATAATATAACATAACATAGCTTAACACAACATATTATAACACAACATAACGTAACACAAAACAACATAACATACGAAAACATACCATAATATAAGATAGCAGATCATAACATAACATAACAGAACATAACATAACATAACACAGCATAACATAGGCTAAAGTAACATAACTTAACTAGAATAACATTATATAACATAACATTAGATACTGTAACATAACAGTTACAGTCAGTGTTATCTCTTCCTTTGTCTCTGCCTTTATCTCTATGACTGTCATTGGCCCGGGAGTGCGCTTCTTGTCGGTACGGTTCAAATCGCAGCTCACGTATCCTCTGAGTAGCGACCAAACACCAGTTTGGGAGTGAGCTAAAGTGAGAAGGCGTAAAACTTCGCGTGCGCTGGGTTTGGGTCCCCTCACTTTAAAACCCCGCCCAATCAAAAAAACAAAGACGGGGATGAGTCCCCCTTTTTTTGATCACTTAGTCAGAACGAATTTTAAATATTTTCGAGTTTCGCACGCAGATATTTGTCGCCTCCACCAGCAAGTGTTCCAAGCCAGCAGTTATTTAATGGGACACGTTTGATTTGCGACCCTTCAAAAAACAGGCTGGAACCTAGAAAGGCAACATTACTTTCACCAATTTTCATATTCAAGAAATTGTAATTCTAAAAATTACAACTTTTTCTAATTTTTTATTTACCTAATTAACTAATTTACATACCAAAAGAAAGATTTAACATTTTCAATTTCTACAAATGAAAACTCTGTTGGAGAGATATGAACGCACCCAGGACAGAAACATTGAATGGAAGCCGAGACGTTCAAGCTTCTCCAATCATACGAGTATACAATGCGAAACAGTATCAAAGACCTTCGGAAAATCCGTAAAGCTAACATCTACCAAATCTACGCTTATAGGACGAAATGCAGAAACGGGCAGTGGCTGCCCAATTGGTAACTTTAGAACGTCCACAAACAAAGCCTTGCTAATGAAGGTTAATATATAGGTAAGTCCTTTGATAGAAAATTATCTTATTAAACTAAATTTTTTCAAAATTTTCTTTTTGCTGCAGAAATATTCGTAGAGTACCAAGGTGCACATCTGCATAAAAAAAATAAAAAAATAAAAATGTCGCTTACATCTTTTTGGCTGTTAGTGCCCGACATGACTCATCTTTTTCTAGTTTTTTGAATTTTCGAAGATGTTGTAAGTTTAGATATAGGGTTGTAGTTTCTTACGCTATTTTGATATTTTGAATATGATAAATATTTGAAGATGAGAATAATGACAACAACTCAAAAACCACAAAAACATAAACTCGTACCGAACACAAGAAATCTCGATAAGTCAGAAAATGTCATAAAAAAAAAAAATAGTAAGAAATTCAAGTAAAATGAAATGGCCCTGTAAACCAAAAATCTTAACGAAATCTATAGGAGTATCTCGAAGACAATTCTGAAGAAATTCTGCAAAAAATTCTTCACATAGTAGCTTTATTTTCATTGCTTTACCGATTTGCATCCGAAATTTCGTAAAAGAATCGAAGTGTGCACAGTATATTACATTTTAGAAATTTCGGCAACAAATCGGACGATATCTTTACGAATTCTTTAAAATTTCTGTTCAATTCAGAATACTCTGAAAAATGGTTTGCAGGGGAATTCAAAAAGTATCTGACACCTCAAAAATTTTCCAAAAAATCTAAAAAAGTTAAAACAAAGTCACGAGAAAATAATTGAAATTTTCAGTAAAAATCCCGAATAAAATCATAAAAAATTTAAGGAGGTTTCTGAAAACCTCTTAAAAAAAATTGCAATATAATACCTAAAAGCTTTCGGAATATCCCAAAGAATAAAGGGAAATTCCGCGAATTTCCAAAAAAATCTCAATTAATCACTAATTTCTTAATCTTTGTTTTAAAACCACAAAAAAACTGAACAAATATTAAATTAAATAGAAAAACTGTGTAAATCCGAAAACTCAGGAATTATAAAATTTTTGGATATTAAAATGATAAGCTAAAAGCCAAATATCGAAATATCGTATGTTCACCCAAATTCCGATGGAAAATGAGTTAAGGCTTTTCTAGACATTTTAAGCTATGTATATTGATGTTACATTTTTAAAACATAAATATATGCTTTGAGTTCTTTGGACATTTTCCGGGATTATTTTATTAAAGATGTGGGTAATTGAGGGATTCTTTCCCGATTGGCGCGGGTAATTTAACAGAAAATATCTGGCATCACTGATGCTGTATAGCGCCGGCATAAGTAAGGCCGCATTTCAACCTGTCACCACAGGTGATCACAAATTGTATTCACAATTTACTCATAGATGTTCCAAATATAAATTGGGCTTTAATATAAAAAAGCACATTTGAGAATGCAAACAAACTGAACTGAAAAAGGCCAACAAATAAAAACAAGCCTTGCATCCTTATCACATAAAATTAACTGTTCTATGCATATCAACTCTTCATACAATACAATTTAGCAGTAATGCAGTAACGACTTCATTTATACATGCCAATGTGTAGACAAAATGGGCAAAAGAGGAAATTAAAATGCGCACTGGTCACTCATACGCCCTGTCATACTACATATGCCACGGTTAAATTGCACAACTGCACGGTTAATGCATAGATCGGCTGTGCGTGCAAGTGTGTGTGAGTGTATGCGTATATGTGGCAGGCATGAGCACAAGCATTGCATGCGTTGAGCAAACGTCAGCTCATATTTGCATTTTAATTAAAAAATATCAGCGCGCATGCAAATAAACGCACATACTCTCCAGCAACAAACACCACATGGCTAACTTACATTTGTGTAGGTGTACATGTATGTATGTATATGTATACTATGTGTACGTAAGGCTTGTAATATAGAGGTGGATACGGACGCATGCAGTGTTTGGCAACGGACAATGGCAAGGGGGCCTAAATTGCGTGTGTGCAATCAATAAATTCCATATGTGTTGCACAAACTCTACGCCATGTAAAAATAGATTGAGCAGACGTGGCATGCATGCATGCATGTTTATGTACGCACTGCATGTACATATGTATGTATGTAGGTTTGAATTTTGCTTAATATTTGCAAAGTGAAGGCAATTTCTGCTCGTGGGCGATGGCCATCAGGCACGATACACGAGAGG